CGCCGCGCAGGCCCCCTGCGGACGGGGGGCATCCGACCAGGGGGAGGGGGCGGGGAGGGGCCCTGGCCACCTCTGCTCCTCTCCTCGCCACCCTCCCCCCTCCCGCTACCCTCCCACAAGGTTCCCCGCATTTCCCTGACGTGGTGAGGGGAGGGGCTGCCCTCCCCTCGTGGACGGAGCGCCCCCAGCGGGGCTGGGGGCAGCGTTGAGGGAATGGGCTGGGGGAGGAGGGGGGACTCCCTTCTTTGGCAGCTGAACATGGGGGGGAGCCTGAGGGCAATGCCCTCCCCCCTTTTACCCACAGCAGGGCAGGGGGCTTCCCAGGAGTGGCGGGGAGAAGTACCTTTAAATTCCCAAGCCCCAGAAGCGGTGTTGGGGAGAGGAGGGAGCGTGCGGGGAGGGAGGAGCCATGCCGGAGAGATGGGTGAGGTGGGGGGGGGTCTGGGAGAGAAACAAGGGGGGGAAAGGAATGCTTGTGCAAAGTGGGACAGACGGACAGATGGCCCAAGAACGACAGGACGGAGTGACAGCCTAGTGAGCGGGAGCCAGCGTGCACGCGCAGGGTCTCCTCTCCCCAGGAGCAGCGAGGAGGCAGCGCAAAGACCGTGGCCGCGGAAAGAGAGGAGAGCACGCCGAGGGGAGTGTGCCAACCAGGTCGGGCCCTGCAGGGCGGGTGGGGAGAGTTCACAGAAAGATAAGAGGGTACAACACCCCTAAAATAAAGGCTCTCGGGAGCACAGGAGGGCAGCTGTGGAAGAAGCTCAGGAAAGAGGATGGAGGTGCCGAGAAGTTTGAAGAATGGATGCTGGGGGGGGGCGGTGGCGGGAATGCCACCTCGAGAGGGAGGCAAGTATTGGGGTGCAGGAAGAGAAAGCCCCGCAACACGTGTGAATGGAGGCAGACAGAACGAGTGTGCCAGGATCAAACAGAGGGAAGGGGCGGCCAGGGCTTACGCGAGAGGGGTCTGTGAGCGGCAGAGGGAGGGGGAGTCCCATGTGTGTCTGCAGCATGGGTCAGAGAAATGAAGGGTGCAGCCTAGGGGCCCTAGGGCCGGGCGGGGGGCGTGTAGGAGAGCGAGCTAGCTGTGGCGCAAGAGAGGAAAAAGGTGCAGCTAGTTGGAGAGCTTGAGAAGGCCTTGGAAGCCGGCAATGTGCAAGACAGCGAGAGGGCAAGCTTGTGCAAAACTGCGGTGGGGAAGGGAGTGGGCGTGCAACCGGCGTGCAAGAAGCAGGCGGTGTGGCAGCTTGAGTATGCCATGGAGAGGAACGAGGGGAAGGCAGAGGGGCCTGGAGAGGGTGGGAAGGGCTGTTAGACAGGCGCAGGTGATGGAATGGGAGAGCACACCTTCCCCTGCGGCCTGGGGGACCGCCTCCATCCGGTCAGGCTCTGGGCTGACCCTCTATGGCTCTGTCTGTCCCCTTCCTCTCCCCACACCCCCAGAATCGAACCGTCCCACCTTTTCAATCCCCCGTGTCATTTCTCTAATATTCTGCCCCACCCCCTCGGCTCCACGAGGTGACACACCAAAGTCTCAGTATCAGCTGCCCACCTCCTGTGAGGTGCGAGTGTCTGGCCTGCATCCGGTCCACTTGGGGACCTCAGGCCTAGGGAGACAGGGCAGGGCACAGTTTTAGCAGAGTCCCTAGCCTCCTGGGGGGGGGGGGGGGGGGGG